TGGGTTTTTGTTTTTTTTTTTTACTCTCTGTGTCATATCCTCGTCATTTTTTTACTTATTTTTTTCCCCTCTGTTTTTTTTTTTTTTTTGGGGAACTGTTACAATCTTCTTTTTTAAATAAAAAAAGCTCCCCCCCCCCCCTCTCAAATAAGCCCCCCATCACTATTTAATCCCTCTTCCCTCAAATGCGTTTGAAATAAATTACCCCCGGAGGGCTTGATAGAGATGAATTGTACTGTGAAATGTTTCAAGGTCGTATTTTAGAACAAAGTAGATTGTCTGTAAGCGTTTCCTTCCCTCTCCTCCTTCCAAGCCTCCTCCCCTTTTTCTATCGCCCTTCTTTTTTATTGATATGCCAGCGAATTCCGAATTCCGCACCATTACATAGCAAAACGTCCAACGGCCTGTTTACAAAGACGTGTTTACCTCTGAAGGTACACTGTAATGCTACGCTGTTGGGATGCCAATCCAAAGAAAAGACCAACATTTGAAGAGCTAAGTGACGAGCTGAACCGAATGTACAAGCAAGAAACTGTAAGTCAAAAAGCAAGCTTTGCCAAATAAATATAAAAAATCAATAGTAAGAACCAATAATAGTAAAAATCAATAGTAAAAACAAAATAGGCTATTTTCGAGTGCCGTGTTAGGGTGAGTTTGATTTGAATGAGAATAGAAAGTTATTTTCATATTTTTCATATATTTTCATTATTTTCATAGATATGACTTTCATATCATGTTCATATCACCCCAGAGAACTGTTTCTTTCATATGTCGTCCTTTCACGTGCATATTTATACATACTTTATAAAAGACAAAAGATAAAATCCCTTGAGAATATCACGTGATCCTATTTGGGAAAACAAAATCTCCATAGAAAAGAGCGTTATCACTCAGGGCCGAGTTTTTCAAAACTGGGTTAAGATAACCCAGAGTTAGTGCGAGATTTGAATTCAGATTTGAAAGCTTAAAAAGCATTTCAGTTTTAATTCTTTTTCTCTAAAAGTTGATGATTGGAAGCTCTAAAAATAACAGAGAAAATTACCCGAGAAAATACGTTTGAACGCCAGAAAAAGAAACCCGGGTTAAATTTAACCCCGGATCAAGCGCTAATCGGCCTTCGAACAACTGGGCCCAGGTGGCCAGTATTTAAGCACTGGAACAAAAGAAAGCGTTTACACAAGAAAAGAGTGCAACTCCTCCAGGATTGGTTTAGAAAACCACCATTTCATTGTTTCTGATGCCACGTGAAAACGCTCTGCTGTTTTGGTACACTTACGTGGCTCTTACATTTCTCTTCAGTTAACTTTAGAATTGATAATGACTATTAGTATAAAACATTTCATATTTATATATACACCGTTTTACAGGACTATCTAGCTCCTGAAGAGTTCAGACTGGAAACAGATTACGTAAACACTTCAGTGGAAAATGTCTCTTCTGCTTAAAGTCAGCGCTGGGACCCATGAGCAAACAGAACTTTGTGTGAAAGCCTCATTATATCCATGGAACAAGAAGTACTTGTACAATATTTGAATTGATTTTATTGTTTTTTCTTTTTGTTAGATAAATCTTTCATTGTCACACTATCGAAAAGCAAACCGAATCAATGATGTCTGCATCGTTTGGTTCGATCTGATTTTGAATAAGGACAATGGAAAACAGTATTGCTAAAATTTTGCTTGATTGTTAAATATTTTCTCTCAAGAAAGCGGCAGTATTCACGTAAGATGTACAGTAATTATAAATTATGTTTTTTGTAGTCAAATTATAAGCGTATTGGGACGGAGGAACGTTAATATCAGGATTTACGGGTCAGAGCATTTAATGACAAAAAAATTGTTCATCGACTTAGTTGGTAACCATTCGCCACTTTAGAAACGAGGAAACTGGGGCCGAGTTAACTTTCGCAAAGATTTCTGGGAAAGATATTTAGACGGGGGAAAAATTGGCCAATAGCTGACCAGAGCGTCCCCGTAACGATCCCATAAACTATCGCGGGACGTATTTCGGCTCCAGTTTCCTTCTCGTTTCAGAAGTGGCGAATTGGCTCCGTAAGATTCAAAAGCCGACGTTTTGAACGTCAGTGAACCGTACTGACTGCCAAAGGTGACCCTGGCCCCGCCTCTTAATGACAGCTCTGCAGTGGTGAAAAGAGAATACGCGAACACACAGCGCTTAATTGAAAGTTGTCTTTGGAATCTTGCTTTAATAGACGTCTTTAGCTTGTACGTTTTGGATTCCCAATGTAGGGATTGGCCCTTATGCATGTTCACCACCCAGCCTCGTTTTGAAATTGTAAAGTTGCGAAGTTTTGCATAAATAAATTCCCATGGCAGAAGAGTTAAATACAACAAGTGCAAATGCGAAGAATTTTTCTTTCAGACAAGGCGTGGTGGTGAAGTTTGCTCGTATGACGTAATCATGCATAAGTGGCATTCGGCCTTGCCTTCTTTCATAAATGCCCATACATAATCACGTGAAGAAGACAAAATTTGAAAGAAACAGTATTCTTGAGAGTATTATCACGTGACCTACACTGGGAAAACAAAACATACGAGCTAAAGAGGTGTATTCTACATCGATGCAGTTTCACCAGAAATCAATTAACGCCTTTATTGAAAATGGAATATATACGCATAGGAAAGAGATTCTTGTGGACCAACCGTCTATTATAGTGAAGGGGACCTCGAAACTAAGACATTGTGTACGTTAGCTAGCAAAGTAATTATTTAATTAAACCATTTTTAGGACGAATTTTGGTCAAATTACAAAAATGCTAGCCTTGAAAAAGATAAATGTTACGTTAACGTTTCGTGTACTTGCGTAAATGTCTCAAAGTGTATGAAACAATATAAATGAGACGCTAAAATTTAGCAAGTATTTGCACTGTTTATCGGTTTTTAGGGCTTTTATATTTAATTAAAAGAAAGCCAAGCAGCGAATAAAAAGAAGGAAAAGTTTTCTTCGTCTTATTTTTTAAATATTATTGCCGTTCAGAAGAGGGCAGGGTCCTATGTCTGTCCTGAATCTCGACCTTGAGGTTAACTGTTTCGCGAGCGATTACGCTGTTTGTCAGCAGTACCTAGGCCCCTCTGCGCAGATAGTCTCTGTGATTGGCGAATTTATGATTGACAGATTTTAATCTGCGACCTCGTGCATAAACAATTGTTGTGTTGATGTACGGAGTTGGAAGTCGAAAGTGGGACGCAAGTGCGAAGAGAAGTTCTTTACTATAAAGGTGAGCCAAGGTACTCCTTAGCTTTTCGTGATAGGCGTAAATTTAAGCCCGGTATTTCGGGGAGTATTCACAGGGCAACGACGTCAAGAAGGGAAGCTGAAGCAACGATGGCGACGGTGGCGAAAACCGTCATTTAAAAAGAGAATTCACGCTGTTTGGAAATTCATCGCTCTTATTCCATGTTGGTGAGTTTTTCTGGACTTTAATTCTAAAGGAGAGTATCTGGTTTTAAAAAAAGGAAAAGAAAATTATTGTCGTGTGTTCACGTTCTCCTTGAAACTTGAAATTTGGTAGTCCCTGTTGTCACTGTTGACACTGCTGTCAGTTTCACGTTGTGGTCGTGCAAGACGGCAAAGAATCATGCCACAAAGCGTGATGCACGTGCGAAGTTTGTTTTTGCTTTCCTAAACGTATTGTCTTTTGTCTTTCTCGTTGTTATTGTCCTCGTCGTCATTGCTTAATCTCTCTTTCACGGGTCTCGCAACGCTGATGGGCAGTTGCAGTCCTTATTTCAATACCGAGAAAAGTACAATACGTCAAACATTCTTCAAACTCAGGACGTATGGCTAGTCATTCTTTATCGGCGCAAATCAGTGAACGAACAGCTTATAGAAGAGGGGTCAATACAGTGGTGTGTCTAAGAACACTTTAGAGCCCACAAACAACATTAATTCTGTTAAAGTAAATAGCAAAGTCACCACTATAGTAACTCCAACAGTTCGAAGACGACTCCTATTGAAAGAATGACACTGGCTGACTGACACTGGCCCGTTTCAAACGTCGAGCTACTGCCGTTGGAATACATTTTAACAGTTCGCTAAACCGTTTTTAATTTTTTAGTTTTGTTTTCTGCAACAGCTATTTTATTTGATCGAGTTAAATTCCGGGTCTGAAACCAAGTCGTGGTACAGTCGTGTTAGAGTCGTGCTAAAGTTGAGCCAGCTTAGAACGGCAGTAGCACGACGTTTGAAACAGGCCTAAGAAGCCTATCTTTGCGCTCACAAACACCTAAACAACAATTAAACTAAGCAACAAGGTCATCAGCACAGCGGTTGCAGCAGTTCAAAAGACCCTGTGCCAGTTCCCACTACTCGACCGACAACAAGCCGTGACGAAGGCGAATTTAATTTCTCTGTGTCTCCTGACAGTACTGCTCCGCGAAGGAAATGTGTTGTGGTTTCAAAACTCATTTTCTGGAAAGGAGAAGCGTTCGATTCGATTCCAATGCGATTGAAGGCCTTAATTGTGCCTTCGTAGGTCATGTAGTCGGACACGAGGCTAAGGTGACGAGGATCCACTTGAATTCCGTAAGCACTGAATACGTTTTTTAATTCCTGCAAGGTAAAAAACAGATAGTAAGCATATCCTGTCTCTTAAGAATGTTTAACTGAAGGGAAAAAAGCATCACGCTTTTTTACACCTATGCTTAAAGCGATCCCTGTTCAAAAATGGAAACCGGGTTCCGTCTTGTAATAGTGGCTGAAACTTTTAATCAAGGTTCCTTTTTCTTCTGTTCGAAAGTGTTTTCGATGTTAATTTTTGGTGCAAAGTAACAGCAGGCACTTTCCCACCACTGCAACAAAACCATTGCGCTCTACCACCAACACCTGTCTAACTCGCTCACCCTTCCCTTGTGGTCAGATTGGTTAAAACACCTATAGCAGTTAAGCACCTGAAACCATTGGTGTCAGGTCATGCGCAATTTTACCGATGGAGCCAATCCTCTACACTTGAGAAATTCTAGGGAGAATGGGTACAAGCTTTGGGTGCAGTGATTCCTGGGATCGCGTTAATTATAATTGGTCGATGATATCCATAGGCAACGATTAACCAATCAGAAGTACGGTTTGTCCACCAAAACGATCGCAGAAATCATAGCCTGCGAAAACATTGGTTTCTCCTCGCTCTTCGCCGCTGGGGACGTTGCGCGCGAAGGAACGTCTGCGACTCAGTGACAGAAATTCCATACTGATGACGTAAAATCTGTCCGGAATCAGGTCAGAAGCGCTGATTGGTCGACGGAGTAGTTACATTGTTTTGGCTATTGTTTACGAATGACAGTCTTGAGAGACAAAAGACAAAACGCCACAGAGGTCAAATGTAAATGTGAAGAATCTCTAACAAAACAGTCAATATTTGTGGAATATAGTCTTCTCTAGAAGAAGTATTTGAGTTTTGCTGGAGCTCTTTGGCAGATGAACACGACACTTTACCAAAGTCGACCAGAAGACACATAAAATTGGACAAATTTATATTTGGAACCCCATGACTACCGGATTTATTTATGTAAACATTGATTTGCGTCATCAGTATGGAATTTCTGCCGCTGAGTCGCAGACGTTCCTCCGCGAGAAACGCCCCCAGCTACGAAGAGCGAGGAGAAACGGATGTTTTCGCAGGCTACAGAAATCATCGCGCCGAAAGCTTTTACCCATTTGATTTTCGAAGATGGAAAAAGAAAACTTTAATAGTAACGACTTGGATAAGAGCTATAGGCTTTTCAACCACTTGACACATTACAAAAGGTGCAAAGTAGCTTCAGTAAAACAAGGAACAGTTTACCTGTTTTATAACTTTCGCGGCTGCTTCGATTCCATAAGTGTTCGCCATAGCATGAATGTCGTTTGTGTATATCTTCGTCAAGTCAAGAACGTCTTCGTATTGCCATGCAGCCTAAAAAGAACAACTTATTCATCAATAAAAACACCAAGGAAAAACGATATAAAATTATAAAGAACAGAAAATATCATCGCACATATTTGATAATCTATCAGACCATTCAGTACTGATTAGAGCCACAACACATCGCTGGCCTCAAGACAGCACGGCCACACAGAGAAACACGAAAGCTATCTATCATCTCACACATTTCACTCCTTCCTGTTTAATTTGATCACTTTTTTTCAAGGGTTATCCGTTAGACTGTTCACAGTCCCGAATGTTTCCGTCCCCCGCCCCTGCCCCCCCCTCCCCTTCCCTCCCACCAAGTAGGTTTGACAGTAAACCCCAGGCTAGACTAGGACATTTGAAACCAAGATGGCCGCCAGTAACACAAAGCGCAGTTACCTGTAGATTGACGCCTTCTGTTTTCAGCACTGCAGTACCGTTATTTTCGACCAAGAAACATCGGTTAATTTTTGGAGTTTCATAGACAACACTCTGAAAGAATGGAAGACAGTTCAGGTCGAATTTAATTTAAGTAGAATGAGCCTTCAAGCATGTGGGTACCGTATTGTAAAGAGAAAAAAACTATTGAATGTCGTAACTTAGCAAAACAATTAAAAATTCGCAAAATTCTAATACCTGGTTGGCCAGTTTCTCTATCACGGAAGAAACTCGTATTTTGAAGTTCGTCACGGGAAACTAAAAATAGGTAGGAAAGTTAGAAAACAACAATTAGAAAATGTATAAGTACTTCATTCCGTAGGGATAGGGAATAAGATGTACTTTTGTAAGACGGGGTGATCTTGATATTACAGGGAAAAAGAAAGTTTTATTATGAAACTAAGAGCACCCTGATGAATGTTAAAGAAAAGGAGCCTTCTCAAAACCTCACACACGTTTCTTGAGATGCAGTTATTTGAGTAAACTATGAGTGAACACAAACTTTGAGCACTAAAATTCATAAGACGGTTTGCCAAGGGTTTTTGCAAATTGTGAGAAGTTGGCAAAATACTCCTATCCTTTTTCACCCCCGATGTACGATAATTGTTATACGATTACTTTACTTATGTTTCACGGTGGTCCTAAACGCATACTCCAAAACTGTCAAAATAGAGCACTGAGTATAATGGAACACGTTTGCATATTTAGCGCACTCCATGACATATAAAGTCATAGGCGCATACTGAAGTCTAATGTCGCAACCGTTTCAGTATCTAGTCCACATTAGGTGTGGCAGATGATCGTTAAGGTGCGATTACTTTGGCACGACAATGTGGGCTCTGAGAAAACTGTCTCCTCACAAGCGATCCTGAGCCATGCTACAGAAACTCATTTTTCAAGTTGATCTTAATTTGATTGACTTATTTATGATTTGTCTAATGACAGTCACTATTGCCGCCATCCCGCGGAGCAAGACGCCGAACACATTCGCCTGGTGGAAACAAGTAGTAAGCGGTCGAACGAAATGTCACGATCCACGAAAACGGATTATCGTGAGGCCACCATTTGCAGCGTCGTATCTCAGCTTGTTCAAAGGAAAGGACCGTTTGAGATTACCGTTTTAAGTAAAGCAAGAGAAGCGGTATGTGGATCAGTGGTGGACAAATCAAAACCGACCGATAATGTTTTTTTCTTTGCTCTCATTAGCTAGGATCCACAGTGTTTCTTGTCTTAAGCAACGCCCTGTATATGCCAACAACTCATCAGCCTTCCCCACAGGAACACCAACCAAATTTTCGACATATAAACATTTTTTCGACAGCACGGCAACAATTACCTGTAAGGAGACTTCACACCATTCTTCATTTTCCGCATCATATGAATATGAAGCGACGTGAATATCACTCTGTAAAACACGCTGCAAACAAACAGAGAACCACACGAAAAGCTCTGTCAGGGATATTTGCTAAACCAGGTGATTGCTCGAAAAATCTTGCGCATGAAAAGTAAAAAAAAATGCTCGCGCCTCTTACACTCAGGATATCAGTGTTCTTTTTTATTTTTTTAATATTTCAAAGTATTTTCGGTAATTTTACCTGTAATCTCGCATCATCAACACTCGAGCGACGGCGTTTGGCCTTTTTCATTTTTTCTTGCTCTGCGCTGTCATCTAAATTCTGATCTTCTCCATCCTCTTCAAATTAAAAATAATAATTAAAAAAAGCCATTCAATAAAAAATAAAGGACATTTGAAAAGACGAACAGGGACAACTCCCTGCGTTCGTAGTTTTACTTGATTTTATCTCTGTTTACGTTACTTGCCCTTGCACTACATGCAATATATCACAACCAATATGAAAATGTACCTCCGAAAAGTGATTCCGTTCTCAAACTCGAGATTTCTTCGCTGTTTTCGTCGTCTTTTGAAGAAAAAGAGAAATAAAAACAAAGATAAAATTGTACCAAACGTGAAAAGGCTTACTTAATAGATAGAAGATGACAACGATCCTCTTTTAGGTCTCCTAAAGAGAAGCTTTAATTTCACAGATTATGTTACTCTGTACATCACTAGCGTTAAGTTTTGGAGTCAAAATATCCTGCAAGTAGAATCATCTCCAAACAATTCTAAACCAGGAGACAACTACAACAATTTCCCACCTCAGGTTGGTTAACGGTTGCCTTGAATATTATCGATTAGGGCCCCCTGGTAGTTTCTGGAGAGGGGAATACAGCGCATACTCACCGTCACTGTAGTAGTCTAACTCGTTTTCTTCGTCCTCATCGGGCGGTTCATAACTGGCATGCTGAAAAAAAAAATGAGTTGCAGCAGTTTATCAACTTTAATAACTAAGTCGCTAAGTGGAGATGGGTGCCCGAGATGTCTAAGGGCTTCCACTTTTGGCAAAGCCAGCCCCTAGAAAAAGTTACGCCCCAATGGCTGGTAAACCCGCGCCCTATTGCCATGAACCACCACGCCAACGGAACCAGGCACCTGTCACACTGATTTATCAGTGGAAAAATAAAGGGGGTGAGCAATGGGGGTAAAAGAATGATCCAAAGACTAAACGAAGAGAGTGGCCACAAGGAAACGCTGTACCAAGCAAATGGAGATGATACAAGCAAGGCTGACCGCGCTTGAGCCATCGCACTGACCGCTGACCGACGCTTGCGCTCCTGGTTGTTAACTCTGTTAAACTTCCCTTAACTTTATTTATGGGTATTATACAAAAACAACAATAGATACGGATAAATAGAACAAGATTGTGAGATGATAGGGGTTGAATCGTATTTCTCACAGTTATTTTCTCTTACTGTACCTGTTGTCTTCTCTGCCTCTGTCTGGCTTCGTTTGCATCACCATCAGCCGCTTCCTCGTCGGATAACTCAGCGTTGTCATCATCATCGTCATCTACAAAAATCATGACAGTGTTATTGAACTCCAATTTTGACAATTGTTGAGTACCACAGTGTCTTCATGTTCTCTCTTACACGACTGATAACCCAATGCCTACACACATACACCGGGCCGTCTGTTGTTCGAAGGCCGAACAGCAAAATCCAGGGTTAATCCCTATGACAAATCACTTTATAAGTAGGTTGAGTATGATCGTCCGGGTGAACGTAGTCCTGAATACGACTGTTGTTAACAGTGACTGACATTTCGACAACTTGTGCGGTAGTCATCTTGGCGGTGTATTCATCTTTTGTCTCATAACAGTGAGTCCATGATTAACGATAACCCGGCTTTGAACACTGAAGTTGGCCCTGAAAACTCGAAATGATGGTTCCCTATTCAATAGGAAAATCAGCCAAGAACACTAAGGACATATCAGAACCCTTAGTGTGAAAATAACTTGGTCTCGCGTTGTATTCCCCTTCCTCCAAGAGAAGCGAAGACAGGCATACATGCCCGTTTATGTCAATGAAGCCATCATTGACATAAACATGCCTTTCTGTCAATGAATCATTCCCAATAGTTAAATACATATTGCAAAAGTGAAATTGTACGAGAAAACCGTCGTTGTCTAAATGGATCTTGGGAGAATTATCTTTCATCCCCACATATTTTGCAGGGGTCAATGACGTCCTCACTAAGCTTGGCAAAGGAGAGAAATCCTCGTTGCAGACCGTTCGAACGCACTTCATAATCTTTGATTATGATTAGTTTATCTTTTCATTAATTTGTTCATTATTTATTGAGTTAGCTGGTTGTTAACTCTTTGCTTATCCATGATACCTTGCGCTCCACTTCCTGCCTCGCTGTTTCCATTTCTCGGCTGATTATTTTCCGCCACAGTTTCAATTATTCTGCCAAAAATATTAACCCATGATAAGCACTACTAGGTATTTACGTGGTAACTACAAGAAGAAAACCAAGACGCTGTCGTAGCGTTTGCTTGAGCTCTGACACATGCCCAGAGCCTTCGTTCATTCCTTTCGGGGATATAATCTAAGCCTACGCACTCAAAACAATCACAGCGGACACTCCATTGCCTATACACGACCCCCCAACGGGGAAGAACATATAACTTTGAGCATCAAACATAACCAAAACAAAACCAGATATAAACAACCAAGAGGCATTTTCGCCTTGCTGGGCCTACACAGACTGAGTGTAACTACCAATTCGTATAAAAAATCATCAAGAATTCATCAATGTTGTGTACGCCGTTACTCAACATTGGCCTAAGCCTCCACCTACATCTCACTTGACTTGGCTTTTGTGGCTTTCAAGACAGCTGAAATAATCTTCTTGATGAAAATAAGCTCCACATAACGAAGAATGCTTGATGCCTTCACGCAAAATTCATCCTGGTGAAAGACAATAATATGGAATCTTACTTGAACAGCCGCCTCTATCACTAGTAGAAACCATCAAGTTTAACCCTCTAAGCCTCAGTATCCACTTACAAAGCACTTTGGTGATCATTTCATTCATTCTCGTAAGCTTTCTTCTTGATTATCTATTGATATTGTTAGGGTAGCATTGATGTTGGTCACTATAATAAACTGTCCATGTGCAGTTTGTAAAACAACAAAAAACGCCCCAAGCAAACCAAATAGTTTAAAAACCTACCGGCAAAAGGTTTTTGCTCCATAGGCCTCATATAGATTGGCGGTGCCTTCTAACGCCTCCTCACCCCTAGTCTGCTACACAACCGTTTTTAGTGTCGTCACGCAACGCTTCTCCCTACTTAGTGGGGAGGAGCTTTGCGTGATGACACTAAAAACGGCTGTGTAGCAGACTACCTCACCCCAAAATAGCCCGTAATTATACAATGTATTAGAAACACAAGTTACAGTTACCTTGTACGATGCCTCGCTGAGGAATTTTAACCTGATGCGGTGCATCCTGCTTCTAAATGATTGAAAGCCAACAAAAATTGTAAGCGTCAATTTCATAAACAAGACAAGAATGGAAAGTAACATTTCCTTTTTGGGGATATTCCACCGAGTGGATTTTATAATTTTAAACCCTGTGTGATGGATATTTAAGATGGAAAAATTACAGTAAAAGAAGAAGCAATATACGATGGAGGGGTAGATTGAGAATATTTGCGTTTGCATCCTAGAAGAATGCAGGACAAAAATCAGTAGAAAAAAAATCAAGGATTGGCTGGTTCTCACCGCCCTCCGCTCTGCTTTGCTGATAAAGATTCCCAAACATCTACAGACTCCAAAACCTGCGAGAAAAAAAAGTGCATTTACAGTAAAACAGTTTTCATTTGCAAAAAAGAAGGCAGGAAAATAACATAGTCAGACCTTATTGTATTAATGCGAGCGACAAGAGGAGCCCGCAATCCTAATCTTCAGGTTGTTATTACGCACACGTCGCACGTATGTGGCCAGCATTCGTTTGGACTTCCACTAGGAATGTATGGAATCCACAAAACGCACTTTGATCACGCACGTTTGGACCTTCTATCACTCGTGATCTAATCACGCGTGTTTTGACCACCTGTCACGTAAAACTTACGCAAAGCACAGCGCTGGAGCAAAAGCGTTTTGACCTTCGATCGATGTCGCCCGCACTCCGTAACCTTTGGTTATTACTAGTTACTCCCTTAGTTACTTTTCATTTAATAACCTTACACAACAAAATTCATATTATATAGATGGAGAGTGGGGTGGGGTATAACAAAAAAAAAACAGCCCAAAAAATATCATACTTAATCTTCTCTACTGTTTTGAATTATTTTTAAAATTCTGATTACAAAACCAGTGGTGTTCAACGCTTCTCCAAATGCGATTAAAATAGCATCTTATGACACTATACAGTAAAAACAAAGAAACTCTTCTTGTCATTCAAAGAGACTGGAACTAGTTGAAAAGAAACTAAAAACAAATTTTAATGGTCGATACTCAAACATTCTAGCGGAAGTAATCTCTTTGAGCTTAAGAGAAGATAAAAAAAAACACACATTTACTCTCATTTTTCCATAAAAAAGAAGACATAAGGAGGTTAACTTTACTTATAAACTGCTTACATCATCGGCTCCAGTTTAGAGGCCTAGTCGGAACCCACCCAATTCCCTTCGGAATATCAAGCGAGCGAGTACCAGAGGGGACTGGGAGACATACATCTTCCAATGGAAACCACCAATACCTGAGCCAAAGTGACCTTTGTAAATTTTCTCTGAAGCTGTTTCGCACGTTTTCTTGCTTTTGGTCCTGGTTTCAACGGCAAGTCCATACTTGGCGTTTTGATATTCGCACTGGCAGTCATCAAGATTTCCCTGGTACGAAAAAGTAATTTTAAAACCCTTTAGGTCCCATTGGTGACCAACTAAAATTTTCTCCTAATGATATCCATACATCATCAAGAGATAAGGCTGTGAGAATTAATAAAATGATCACCTAAGAGGAAATGCTTTGATCTTATATCAAATTCTCTCAACACATTCTTTAAGGAAATATATAGAAATCAGTTTGGAGAATTTGTATGTTGATATTGGGGGTATCAACGCTTTCTGATTCTGCCCTTACACTCTTCACATCAGGGCCTGGCTGTTCAAAACTGAGCTGGATAGCGCTAATCATTGGATAAATCACTATCAGCGGATAAGTATGAAGGAAATCAGTTGCGTTATCCAGTGGATAGCATTACCTAACCTTCGAACAAATGGGGCCAGCGGTCCTATTTACACGTCTACCAGCTCAGATGTACTTGTTGTACAGATTAAGTAATCACAGAAGAATATTCTGGGGGCAATCATTTCATCCTCATTGCTGATAGACGACCAAGGCGACAAACATTCTCTCACTTACTTCTAATCAGAAGTAAAAGTACGTTACTTTTAGAAGAGAGAATACTGAAGCTGATGTTATGATCACTATATGACTCTGCCTGCAACACAGTTCTTTTGAAACTAACCGTTATTTATTCAATAGTCTCCCTCCGAGCTTTTTCAAATCGAGTCCTGGTCTTCATCCTCTCTTATTCCCATGCAAGTCAACTCATTTCCAATTTCGTTCTCGGGTTCCTGTCCTACTCTTCCCCCGGCCCAGGGAACAAGTAGGAGAGGACCTTGAGAACGAGTTCTCTAATTTTTAAATAAATGATTGTGCACCAGGACTCGCTCTGCCGGATAAACAGCTTTAAGCAAATCGGAAATGGGCTATTCGCGCAATAGCTTCCAAGAATTTGTTAATCTTGCAGCTTCACGAGGGTAAGTGAGAGTGAGCGCATTTCAAAGCACGTGTACCTGAGTCTTGGAATTCCAAGTGTGACATTCATCTCACCACGGCCAGCAAAATGAAACGTGTTGAGCGTCATCTGCGTAGACGGCTCACCGATGGACTGAAAAACAAAGACAAGCGTCTGAACAGCTGTTTACAATTCGTTAAGCACGTGACCCAAGCAGCATAGTCTAACTTGGTATCTGTAGCACATTGCAGCTACAATTGAAGAAAACATTTACTCACTGTCCACCCCAATATACCAGTCCATCGCTAAGTCACCCGGTATTTTGTCACGAGCAAATACACGAGGGGCTGAAGTTTTACGCGCATCATCTAGCGTAAAGAATGTATTAGCGTTGTCGTGCAAACTTAAGTTTAAATTGCGTTTTTCGTCCTTCGAACAACTTATTTCTTCTTGCCTTTCCAAAATTCCTCATGACAATAGAGGAAGGGAACTGTTCTCTAGGTACCAAGACTCTTTTAATTCGAAGATTTCGTTTCTCAGAGACAGATTTCTGAAGGTGATGTCAAAAAAAGAAAATAGAAATCCTCAAAAGCTATAATTTTGTTACATTCTGCTCTTCATAACAGGCAGTTTCGTTCGCCGATAAATCCTCACTGCCAATGCAAATAAAATTCGCCACTTTGGAAACGAGAAAGAAACTGGTTAACTTTCGCAAAGGCTTCTGGGACTGCTACTGGGGACAGGAAAAAAATTGGCCAATGGCTGACCAGCGCATCCCTAGCAGTCTTCCCAGAATTCTTAGTGAAAATTAACTCGGCTCAGCTTCCTCTTCGATTCTAAAGTGGCGAATGGTGATGTTGGAGTTGTTTCGCTACAAAGTCGTTTCGCTGCATAATGAGGTCGATTCACTGCAAAGTTGTAAAGTTGTTTCGCTAACTGAACTCGTTATTACCCGTTTGTAGTTCATGTTAAAATGTTTTTAACTATTTAATACAAAAAGGTTCGTTGCAGAGAATCGACTTTATGATGCAGCCAAACGACTTCATTATGCAGCCGCGAAACGACCGTAACTCGTGATGTTTATTCCTCCAAATGGACCAGTAAAGCAAGGCTCAATTAAGGGAGACATTACTTTCAGACGTATGAGGTGACTCACCTGCGCCGCTAACAAACCAACTGCTTCACCGGGTTCTGCTAATGCTCGGAAAGCTTTTAAGTACATCAGGAGCTCGAACTTGCTTGCTGGTATTCTACCACTAAAACCACGACACAAAATCACTGGTAACATGTCACTAGTCACTATGAAACTAGAGTGAAAGCTCTCCTTACTGGCAACTATTAATGAAGGACAGCCTTCTCTATGGCGGCACTGCCACTAAAATCAATACAATCTGTACGAGTTCACGGTTTCATTGTTTCTCTTCTTTTCAAGGTGTCCAAGTCTTGCTAAATCACACCTGGCGGGGGTGGGGCACGGACAACACGGAACAAGGTTTCCTGTCTAAGGATATACCATAAGGCATAACATAAGGAGATTGCGTGGTAAGATCACTTACTTTTCTTCATAATCCTCATCTGTCAAGCATTTGTCCGGATTTGTACCTGTGTACTTCTTTACAGAAGTAGAAAACTTCTCAGACACCGCCCCAAAATACCTATCTGGCTGGTACTTTGACAGCACAGGATCAGGGCAGCAGGCAGCTTTCTTGGTATACCTGTGAAAGTATGTTTTACATTTCAGCTAACACTTAACCCTTTGGGTCCCAAGAGTGACCAACATCTTTTTCCTAACAACATCAGCAGATCAACAAGAGTAAAGTCATGAGAATTACTAAATTGATTACCAAAGGGAAAATGCTGTGATCTTAGACCAAATTCTCTCAACTATTCTTCAAAGAAATGTATGGAGATCAGTCTAGAGAATTTGTATGTGGATCACGGCTTAGGGATTAAAGGGTGAAGGAGGCTGTGGTACGGCTGTCTAGTTCATTTTGCCAATAAGTGTCCTTATGCGCTATGGAACTTACCGCTAGCAAAGAAATAACTTGTAAATGACAAAGTAAGCGTTATATCAAACTGCTAGGCTAGCAAGAAAACCCACCATTGCAATCCGTTTAAATCTTCTTCAAATTTGTCCATCCGTGCCTTCTTTTGTATTTGCCTTGTTATTTATTTCTTCTTTTAATCTTTTGAGAAGTTATTTCATATTTCACTCAATTTGGTGGCAGTTAAATTCTGTTTGTTATACTACTACATGAGAAATTTCTTCAATGTGATTGGCTAAGAGCAGTGGTCTTTCAGCTTAATTTGAAATACCTACATGTGAAAATTACAAAACCTTTGCGGGTAGTAGTATAAACAAATAATAGCATGATTTATACGTGATATTTGGCATAAATACCACTTGTGATATTTCAAAATTGTCTAAAATTTCACTTGCCTAACGGCTCGTGAAATTACCTATAACAATTTTGAAATATCACACGAGGTATTTATGCCAAATATCACTACAAATCATGCTATTACCTATACAAATTTGATAAATTTCATGACGTAGACCCCTTTAAGAGGCATACTCAGACAATTATTTTTTTCGGTCGAGTATCAAAGGAATAAAGCCTTTGCAAGGGCTCATTTAAAAGTTGATCACTTTAGCCTCGAGAGAAACCACACGTGTAGCTAACAGCTCAGAAGTACTTTTAGTACGGATTAAGTAATCACTGAACAATATTCTGGGGGCAATCATTTCATCATCATCGCTGCTAACTCGTAATTCAAAATTTTATGACCCCCTACATGACGAACTTACCACCCTCATCTTGTTCGATACAAAAAAAAACTGAAAAAGGAGTTGAGTGATGTACATGTATGTAATGTGAAACTAAAAAGCTAGCTTTCTCTCAGTGAAGTAGCGGTTTGTTCATTTTATGCTTTCAAGCGTCATTTGCTTTCAATAGATATTTTAATTAAAAGGAAATGACTTTCTGAAAACAATAGTTTCACACATCATTTTATTTCATTTGTTTTAAAGTTAAACAGACTGACTTCGACGACCGATACAGACTCACCCAATTGTGAAGATTACAGTCAAAACGACGAGGTAATAGTTTATAACAAACCTTTCACGAACGGACAAGGGTGCCTTGCTCCACTTTTTAAAGAGCTTCAGATCAGCCTAGAAATAAAGGCAGATATATGATACATATACACAAAACTGTCGTTCTGACAAACCACGTACACACCAATGCTTAAACATTTTCGGTAAGTTAGTAAACGGAGGTAAGCCAGTGTTAAATAAAGCCACGTTGTAACACATTTTCAATCTGGCTGTGGCCGAGCCCCAGATCGAAAGCAGACTGTTAATCGGGAACAGAAACGACAAATACATGAAGTATAGACTTGAAAAACAGTTATCTGGTGGCCCACTGATTGTCTCGAACCGTGCTCTCGGTATTAAATACTTCGTTAACATAAGGGGATCATTTACTTTAAAGTGATTCCGCAAAATATTACCCGTCATCGCGGGTAGCTAATGGGGCTGACAGAATATCTACTGGCAAAAGTGTTGCAAGGAAAGTTTACTAGAAGGGGACTTCACTGTTACGAACAAATTTCAGAAGCAGGGAATTCAAATACTTCTTTCTGAAGCTGCTAGGAAGAGCAGGTACCCTAGAACTAAAATAAAAATAGTTAACTTGACAGATTCAGCACCTTAGTTCGCCCAAACTGTACAGGAGTTTCAGCTTCATCTCCAGGCTCTTGTGGGCAGTTTTCTTTGGCGAAAAACAGAAATGGTGAAGTTCTTTTTTGGCGATTCTGCTCGTGTTTTTTCACCCATTTAGTAATCTGAGAACAAATAAATTTCATGTCAACAAACAATTTTGAATTTTGAGATAAATCCTAAATTTTACTTTGTAACATACCAAAAAACGAATAGTAACATGCAAAAAAACTGATGAAGAGGTGTCATTTAAATGACAACATCACAGGATTTCATCCACAAACGCAAAAATGATCAAAAGTGACAACAGGCATTAAATGCACAAACACAGCTCAGAAGTACTTTGAGTACAGATTAAGTAATCACAGAATAATATTCTGGGGGCAATCATTTCGTCATCATCGCTGTTTTGTTTTTGTTTGCTTTTGTTTGACTGACTTTTTTCCTTCCTACCTTTCTTTCAAGTTTTTGCGCTTTTTCTGATTCCAAATGTGGAAGAAGCGCTTTAGGATTGAGTTGATGTAGAAACGCCTGCGTGTGTAGAAAAATAATAATAAATAAATAAACAAATAAACTCCTGTAACGTGTTTTTAAATAATAGAACTGATAACGGTTGTAAAAACATAATTATACCAAACCTCATAGCATCAACGCTTCCTTTTTCTATTTGGTGTACCCCAAATAAAACAAAGCTTGTATCTTATCCTACTCTTTACAGATGCAATGTCACAGGTAAAACACTTTTCAAGTTAAGTTTCAATTAATAAACCATTTTCAGAATTCTTAGTTGAACTCTTTCATATAGGAATTCATAACAGTAACAATTCCGCTCCAAAGAGATCCTATGTGTGTAGCTAACAACTCAGACGTACTTTTTGTACAGATTAAGTAATCACAGAACAATATTCTGGGGGCAATCATTTCATCATCATTGCTGTTAGCAAGTGCTACGTAACGATATAAAAACTTTTGCTCAATCCACCTATTCACGCGCCTAACCTTTGAGTCATTGTGTCAAATTTTCTTTTTTTGAGTTATGAATTCTTGCAATCAAGAAGTCTCCGAACCTGGTAATTTCCCGCCATAAACGGGAACTGCTTCTCAGAAAGGAATGAAGTCTTCATGACGTCCAAACCATCTTCGCCATAGTAAAATTGCACTACAGAGCTATCACTGTCCCGCACGGTCAGGTCATAACCGACTTGAAGACCTTCTAAGTGTTTAATAAGACATCGCTGTAGGTATCCGCTGCGACTTGTTTTCACAGCAGTATCGACAAGACCCTGAAAAACAATAATTTACATTGAAAACATTTCGGGTTTTTTACAACAGTGTTCCTTTGATTTAGGTCTGCAATAAGTCGACTGTAATAAACTATCCATAAAGCTGCTCATCGCTTTATATGATGCTTCAATCCCGTCTGTATCCAGCTCTATTTCTGCTGGGCCTCAGAAGCCAATTAGAAGGGAGGATCTCTGGTGTTTTTGCTGTGCCGTTGACGTTGCTTTATCTCTTTTCCAACATACGAGTTTTAATGGATACGCCTTTCTGGATGAAAAACAAATTCTCCTCATTTCCGTTAAACGGCCAGCATGAATTTTAGCCGCTTTACGGGTTTTGTTTCTCTTTATTTGGTGTTCGCTTTAATGAAGTATAGTTCATACCACGCATCAAAAAAAAAGAAACAAGATAGAAACAATGACCATAATGCGTGGTTAAGCGCTGTTTGTGTCATCTCATAACCGTGGAATCTCTCTTCTAAATAAGTACGAGACAAGACACAGATAATCGGCTGGAACTTAAACGCCTGTAACCAAATCTCAGGGTTGTCATTATCAGCCGGGGGCCGGGGATTCCTCCAGCTACTATGAATGTGGCCCCGGCTATTTTCATTGGAAAATAGAAGAAAAATAGAACCAAAAGAAATCCCTAGCTGTTTCATTCTCCGCCTACTTGTTGTATTGACCCGGTAACTTGAAATCTTAGTGACAACCCTGCCGAAATCTGCTCCCTCGAGGTCGCTCTTTTTACCTATTGTCATTTTAATTTTAAACAGTACCTCTCTTCCTGCCATGCAGTGAAAGAAATACTCCTGAGGCCTTATCCCAGTCAGGAAACGCCCATCCACGAAGCCTCCAGCTCTGGGACTGGTATCATAAGGTAGAAATGATGGTAGAGACCTGCCGCTAAGCATAAGTGGAGGTCGACGCCCCTCCAGTTCAATCTGCCCCAGCAAACAGGAGATCTGCATGCAATTCACTGAGGACCCTTTAGCACCAGATTGCACCATAAGCTGAAGGTTATTGTCAGGAAATCTCTTGAGAAGGCCCAGTGGAATACAAGCTTTGTTGATGAGATCTTGGTACTGGTCTGTCTTCTTCTTCATGCTCAAGTCCAACTGTTTCATGTCACTTCCGTCTTTACTGTGATGAGCTTTTTGTAGCTTCTCTTCCAATACAGACCTAATAGTCAGAACAAAAACAAGATCACAGAGAAACACAACATCTCAGGCACTAACGCTGCTTGTTGGAACAGAAATGGTTTCCTTAGGCTGAGAGGTTATTGGAATAATAAGTACAGGCAAAAAGAGGCCACTACGCATTTTTAAGTACAGCCAAAAGTATGATGCATAAGTTTTATACTTACATTAGTTAAAGTCAACCTTTGTTGACAGAAACTACTTAAATTGACGTTAAGCCTCTGGCCTTGTCTCCTTCTTCGTTCTTTTATTGGTCAAATCCTATCATGGGCTGAGTGGAGCATTAAGCTCATAAATGGACTGATAGCGGCTGCCAGTGGCACCCTTGTACGCTGACTTCCCAGCTTACTGTTAACATGTTGTTACTATATAATGAAAAGAGGGCGCGTCTCGTTCTCCTCTAACCCACGACATTTCATTCATTCATTCATTCATTCATTCATTCATTCATTCAGTCAGTCAGTCAGTCAGTCAGTCAGTCAGTCAGTCAGTCAGTCAGTCAGTCAGTCAGTCAGTCAGTCAGTCAGTCAGTCAGTCAGTCAGTCAGTCAGTCAGTCAGTCATTCATTCATTCATTCATTCATTCATTCATTCTTTTTGCATCATTTTACAGAAAAAAAATTCGCGTTACAACATACGTAGTTTTTGTTTTACCTTTCACAATCATCAGGAAGGCCAAGGGCCTCTGAGGCAGCTTCGTCTCCAGCCGTTCTTCCCTTTTTCATAAACTTACGTCTCTTCTTATCGGCCTTTTCCTTTACCAGGATGTCCTCAACACCAAGTGTAAAACCATGGAACTGCAGGAATGTGGTGAAAACTCTGGCTAGAGCAGTAAGCAAGTCGCCCGCCATTGCTCCACCATAAAGCTGAATCAAAGTAAAGGACGTTTACATGTAGTTATTTTCCACCAATTCACAGTGTGCTTGGTTAATGTTTAAATGAATGAAAACAACAGTGGTTTGAAGGTATATTCCTACAGGGCTGTTTAGTTAACTTTGTAAGCTATATGAATGACAGTTAAGCACTTTTGTAGAGACAATAATTATCTAAAAAGCTCTTGTTTCAGGTTCAGCAAAAATAGCCGCACAAATTGTTTCAAATCGGGTTAGATTTAGGGTTACAAGTCTATGTACAAGCGATAAAATTCTAAAGAAAAACAACAAGAAAGAAAACAATTCCCTTGGCATCGTATTCTGGAGTAAATCATTGATATTCAATTACACACCAGTAACTGGAAAATTACTTCATTAAAACATTTTTTTTTTAGTTTGATTATTACAATATGCTGTATACCTCTTGACAACAATGCACCAAACCAAATGGAGTTGGCCCATAATGAGCTTTATCCAACACACCAGACAATAACTGTCCCTGACGGATAACCACCTGAAGACACAAACAGGAAACAGTAGGCAAACACAATCAAATGAGATGAGTTTAAATTTTCATCAAGAACTTATAATCTCTTGCAGGATATTACTTTGCATTTTCTACATCTTCTGTGTTTATAATTCCACAAACCTGACTCACTTGTAAATGACTTCTCCTGAAATTGAAGCACAGTCAAACCCTTTAAAGAGGCCCTCCGAGGGTAAATTCTGACAAGCGACATGACCCAAAAAGTAGCGACAGAGCGTAAAATGAAATGGCGCCAAGAGACAACTTCCCTCTGCCAAATTGTGACAGTGACAGCAAAGCCGAAAATAAGCGACAAAGAACGGTGGTTTGTCTAATTCATCACCAGTCTGAATGCAAAGGAGAATTAATTTTCATCAATTTTCCTTGCGCTTCTCTTGTCAGTGAGCTTCAGTGGACCCTCCTGTGAATTGCGTTAATTGTGATTGGCGATGTATAGGTGTTTGATACGCGAAATATTAACTGAGAAAGTCCAGAACTGTAATGGTTTCTTCACAGCACATCGCTATCTCCCTTTACTAAAATTTCGACAAAAGACAGCGACGTGAAGCATTTATGAACACCGGCACGAAACTCTTTAAAATTTAGACGAACGACATGGGACTCCCCCCTCCCTGGCAGGGCCTCTTTAAAACAGAAAGCGACGGGGCCATAGAAAGTGTCCGCAAGAATGAGGTGTCCGTATTAAGCAGGTGTCCATAAGGCAAGGTTTGACAGTGCAACAGTCAGTATACTGCTTTACCTACCTCTGCCTCAGACATGTCGTCACCATGTAACAGTGGAATTCCGAGGAACTGCGTTTTGGGTTTACCAGTTATCCAGTTCTTTAAACACAAAAGCATAAAACACGCATTCATAAAAATACTCCAATTTTTTCCATCTACAAGGTACTTAGCACATTAGGTTATACTCTTATTCATGCAACCATGCAGGTATGAGTTTCTAACACGTAAACCATCTCTTTAAAACAAACAAGATTTAATCCAGTTCCATCAGTCTACTGTCTTATATTCTGCTCTGGTCAACTATTGAGCACTCTATAGTCAATGAGGACATCACTCTGGTACTTCATTCCATATACATTGTACGACATGTAGTTACTATACAAACAAAGGATGAATCACCTTTCCTGCTATTTTGGCTTTTCCCTTCAAGCTCAGCAACTTAGCTTCTGCAGGAATGAGATTAAGCAACACTGTGGATACAACCTACAGCAATAACAATGCAAGTTATCATTGGAGAGATTGTCCCAAGAGTGACCAACATCAATTTTCTCCCAACAAAATCAATACATAATCAAGAGAAAAGTTTATGAGAATTGATAAATATAATAGGAATTGCTAAGGGCAAATGCTTTCTATTGATCTTTTAATTCTCAAAAGAAATGTATGAGATCAGTCTGTATTACTACCAACCTGCTTGCCTGACCAAAGTTCATAGGGTTTAACAATGCATGGCTTTAAAAGCTTTATCTTGCTGTTCTTGAAGCTTAAAGCACTGTACACAAGCTGTTGGTAGTCTGACCTGTATGAGCAAGACTTACAGTTAGTAATATATAAAATAATGTAGATGCACTGTGCAAGATCATCAACCTGTTTACAACCTTTTCTCAAACAAATGTCCATACTTCAAAACAGTATTAAAAAATACATATTACAAGCAGCACAGTCCATCATCACTGCATGTATGATCAATTTAACCTGCAGAATGATCCAATGAAGCAATAGGACCTTTGCAGCACATCATTCACATGGTAAAAAACTGCCATGCTGAGAACAAGGGAGGAATGGTTTTCTACCTAGACTTTCCAAGCCGCGAACAGAATGACAGAACAATATTATTTATGCTTTTATGTTCTGCCCTCATTTAAATCTTTGCAGCATTGGCTTCCTAAATAACATGAGAACATTGCTAAGACTATGGAGAAATCAGTGAGCTGACCTGTTAAACATGCGGCCCCTGATTGTCATCCTCACGCCAGCCACCATATGATCCTGAATCAGTCCACTAAGGGGGGTTCCATCTTTAGGTACCAAGTACTGGTAATTTGTACTGGCTGAAAAAAAAAAGCAAAAGGTATCTCCTGAGCTTACTTGATTCCTAATACAATAAAAAAAAACCCTGACTAAGAAACTGGTTTTTAAGAACCTGTTAAGCTAAAATTTGCCAGTTAAGCCTCCTCTATACAAGAACCTGTTAAGCCTAAAATTTGAAACGATTCTTATTTTCTAAAATCTTAAACGAGTCTAAAGCAATTAAGATAAGTCAACATTCATAATCCTCTTCGGAGACATAGGTGCCTCGTATCACTCCAACTGCAATGTATTGGTATGCAAATTTTATATAATATTATAAAGAATAAGCTGAATACCACTAAATACTCTTAGATACAAATTGTAACAATTTTTTATTTCGGAAATTAAGAACCTGTTTAAGAACCTAAATCAAAGCCTAAATTTGTGCTAATTACCATTTTATGTAAGAACCTGTTTATACATGTACTGGAAAACTGCACGTTCTTAGTTTTTACTCTGGGTTTTTCACTGCAGCGATATTTATCATCGTTATCATTGGACATCGTCATTGTTGTCATTATCTTTATTGCTATTATTGTTATTGTTTTGAAGAATAGCATTAATTACCATCTTTTGACTAACAATCTCTGACCTTGAAGAAATTGTTAAAATTAATGGTACTTTCCTAGAAGAAAAGAGAAGTGCATATAGGAGGTGTGCCAAGAATCAAGAACACTGAATTTACAAAAAACAAACCTATGGTGTAGGCCTCAGCCCTCGCCAGTTCATTCTGAGGATAGTGAGCATTCATTTCATCACCATCAAAATCTGCATTGTAAGATTTGCAGTTAGCATAATGAAGTCGAATGGTTTTCTCTCCTGGTAGGATACGAGCCTGAAACATAATCAGGAAATATTCAACACCTGCAATATTATTATTATCACCAATAAATCAATAAATTGTCTTATATAAGTTTGTGTTAATAAGAATAGAGACTTACCCTGTGTGCCATCATACTTGGTCTATGAAGTGTTGGCTGTCTGTTTAACAACAATACATCACCATTCTTAAGGTGACGATAGACCTGCAACATAAGCAAACATCATAAGAATTATTTCTTTTTTAGCCTGAGAAAACAGCCAACATCTTGCCACACCAACACTGGTTTCCCTGTGAAAAAACATCCGAGAAAAAAGCGCTGAAATTCCATACTGATGACGTGTCACTACCCAGAGATGGGTAGTGCTTCTGAATGCTTGGAACTGATTTCCCATGCAGTACGACCAATCAGAAAACACTAGAAATGTACCCAGATCAGGGTAGAGATCATGGTCATCAGTATGGAATTTCTGCACTCATTTCTCAGATGTCATTTTGCAGGGAAACTAGCGGTGGCGTTGCAAAATATTGGCTGTTTTCTCTGGTTACTTCTTTTCAAACACTTTTTCAATATATTTCTTTGGCTGTTCAAATTAAGCTGAGAAGTAGCTAGTGATCAAAATCTCGACATACACTGTACCTTTTTACAAGGGTTGACTGATGCCTTCAAGTGGGTGGATGGAGTAAGAAGACGCTTGGCAATAGCCTGTCTTTGATTGGGGTCTGTTTTGCTGAGTAGGGTCCTTTTGCCATCTTCCAGTTCCACAAGGGTGGCACTGTTGAATTGAGCAACAAATGTAATGATTAACTCATCAGCTAATCTGTAATCTATTTGCATTGTATAGTGACTGTCAGACTTCTGGCTAAAAGCTAGCCATCTCTCTTCCTAAACTAACTGCTTGGTGACTGAAAGTCCATACAATCTACATATGCATGTCGTTGACTTACTCTCTGTTTAACTGCAAAGCATCCTTCTGTCATAGTGTCTTGCTGTGACTGTCTGATTGACTCATTTAATCAAAGGCTGTGCATAACACTGACATTTCTTGTCTAAAACTCATTTTCATTTGACTTTCTGCCTGCCAGAGTGACTGACCGACCGACCAAGAGAAAAACTGAGTGCATGACAGACTGAGTGGCTGATTGAACCAAAGTGTCAAACTTAAAGACTTATGCTGAGACCCAAACTGGGTCACAAGATTGTATCATTAATCTCTCACTACCGTAACTGGTTAACTGATTGACAAGCTACTGGACTGCATGTACAGTGTAATGATACCTCTAATATACATGTACAATGACATTAAAAGTCATACAATGTACAGTGTAAGAGACCTTACATGAATGGTTTGCTAAACAAGGTGGCAAATTAATGCTCCCTCCAACGCTTCAAATTCTGCTTCAAATAAATGCATGCAAGTCTTTAAACATTGCTGGTATTAATTTAGTTACCCTGGATGCTGTAGAGGTCCATTGATGACTGCCTGTCTCAGTTCCTTAACATTCCAGTGAGTCACAGGTTGTGGGTATGTCAGCTTTAAAGCAAAAACCTATCACAAAAAGACACAAAGAACAATCATGATATACAATTCTGGTAAAGTTGTAAAACACAACCTTTGGTTCACCAAAGGATCTTGCTGCCTCTTTCATTCTGTGTGCCTCACTCAAAATGAAAATCTACATGTATATAAACTTAATTCTTGATCTTAGATACTTGAACCAGGGTGCAAAGAAAGGCAGTTTAATAGCTTGCCATTTGGGTAAGCTGTAGCTAGCATGTGCAAGCCTATAAGTAATTTCAACTAGCCCGAAAAACTTTTGAAGAACAGGATTGATTACAATATTATTCCTCCGTAATTTGAATTCCCTCCGCAATAATAAAACAGAAGATTGTGTGGATTATAATGACGAACAATAATGATCACTTGGTCTTGTTTCCCAGGGCTATTAGTATATCCTTGGGCCTTCAAGTAAAATATTTTAGTTACCTCTGGTATTCCAATCTCATCCACACTGAGATATGGATCAGGTGAAATAACAGATCTACATGCATAATCAACTCTCTTTCCCATCATGTGTTTCCTGAAGAGTCCTTCCTTTTTCTCAAGAATCTGTTAAGTGAAAAAAACTAACATCACTAACCTTAACATAGCTTTAATATTTTTAACAGGTAATTGCTGAGTCAAAAGTGGTTTAATCCTCTTATGAAATTTAAATTCGGAATTTTGACAGTTACATGTAAATAATGTAAAACCAGATACACCATGGCAATAACCTATGGTGTACATACATTCTAAACACACTTTTATCTTGGTATAATTCATGCATAATATTCTAGTCTGTGCTTAAGCCAAGAATATTGGTTACAGTATGTAGAATATTGGAGCCATTTGCTCGGAACCTGTAAAATCCAGGGTGCCCACAATACATATATATGCCAACTCTCCTGGATTATCCCGGAGTCTCCTGGATACAGCACCACTCTCCCGTACGGGTCAATAAATCCCTCTGTATGTCAAATCTTGAAATTTAAAGATTTGACATGCAAAATTTTGAAATTTGAAGATTTGACATGCAAAATATTGAAATTTTAAGATTTGACATGCAGAATCTTGAAATTTCAAGATTTGACATGACAAATATTGACATGCAGACATGACTTTTGAGTATAAATATTTGTGGCCCACATTTCCTCTAAATGTAGGTTGGCTAGATTGAAGCTAGTTACAAACCTACCAGTACTGCAGTCTACTTGAAAGCATACACATACACATACCTGCCTGATTCCTGGAAATTTAACTGTAGACAGTTTATCCAGATCACTGTCTATACAGCAATTCACATCTGTCTGTAGTTTTAGCCATGCATTGTGAAGTCTTTCAGTGGGCGTCTTACCAGATACAGTTGCGGGGGCATTCTTGCCCTGAAAAGAAAAATGGTGACAGTTCAGTATTTCATTATATTCCAACTCTCTCAGATTATCTGGGATCGGGTTTCCCGGATACGGCGCAAATATCCTGGTCCACTGTATGGGTCACTAAATCTCCTGGATGTAATTGAATCTTAAGTTTCTCTGTGCTAGTTAGGAATACAGCCCATTTTCTCCAAAAATTGACAACAAATTTAGTCATAAAACGGTTTCTGGGACATTTTGGCCCTAGTTGCTTCATCACATAAAATTGAGTCAAAAAAGTGAATATTATACTTCTTCCAAGACTTTGTATAACCCTCAGGCACACCAATGTTATAATCGGGGGACTGGGTCAACTTGCGCTTGTAGCAGGGGCAGTTGATGTTCAAGTAGGGGGTACAGTGCTTATTAAAAGGCTACGTTCTCCAGATTTTAGACCCTCAGTGAATGGCACCTCTAACAGCCAAGAACCACATCATTTTTTAAGGTATTAAAAACCACAACATGGAATAGAAAATGATCACATACAAAACCCTTCTTTTTCTTTTCTGTTGATCCTTCAGTCTGTTCTGTTCTGGGTTTGTTTAAATCCAAGAGACATTCCTTCACCAGTACACTATCCTTCATGATTTTACTGAGGTTCCCAGTCTGTGGATTCTCAAACTGCTTGTCTCCGAGGGTTGATAGCTGCAAGACAGTATAAATACGTAAAGTGGAAAAGCATTTTAACCAGCTGAAGCTACATACTAAAAAGCGCTTTTAAGTAAATAAATACTGCAAATACTTAAATTAGCAACTGGGGCTCTCATTTTATTTATTTTGTACAATACTGCATAGTTTACACAATTACAACAACAAAACTTAATGATGTGTACAAATGTTTACGACAGAATATGTCATTCAACTTTATCCTTGCAGCGCATCTTGATAATTTACTCAACAGTGAAATTTTACATACATGTATGTAATGTATCTCAAATTGCATTTAATTGTGTCCTTATAAATTAAAGAAAATTGCATTAAATGTATTGCAAATAATGTTGCAATTAACAGAACAATGTCAGTACAAATTACAACACTTACCGGTCTGAATCTTGAGGGTGGAACAGGAAAGATCTCAAGAAAAAACATATCAGCCGAGGAACACTTTCTCTTTGCCGTTGGGGATGGGTAGGCTCCAAGAAGAACATTCAGAAATTCATGATACGTCTCCCAGATTTGGGTGACATGTTTTTTCACTTCAAGTGGAGTAAGGAAGGTTTGTTGCATAAGTTTTTTCACTTCTTCATCTGCGTCAGCCATAGAATTGCTCACTGTTCCATTCTCTGAAAGTAACATATTCATTTGAGCAAAAATTAAGATTAAGATACTAGAAGTGAATCATGGAAATTAACGAGAAGTTTTGCACCTTATTTATACCTGGTTCATTGTTTGGACCATCATTTGTTTGTCTTGCCATATGAGACCCTGTAACTTGTATTTTCACCCATTTCACAGCATCTTTAGCTGATAATCCCTTTAAAAACACACGGCTGTTGTGTTCACTCTTCACCTCTCGCGATGGTGCTTTGCAACCTGGGCAATAACGTTTTTTGTTTACCATGTACGTACTCATAAATTCTTTTATAAGCTGATGCCTAAAGTTTGTGACATTTTTGGCCACTGACTTGATCCTGGCCTCTGTCTTATTAATGTCTTTCAATGCCTTTTTTACATGTTTGTCCAGGGCAGTGATACAATCTTCCTCTTGAAAGCCCCGTGTGTCATCAATTGATTGATCAGAGTTTATTGTTTGGTTAGCAACATGTTGAAGCTCTTCAGCAACTGACGTGAGCCCAAAATCCAGTGCCTTCATCTGGCTATATGGAATTAATGGAATGGAAATGATCAAATGATACAAATAAATGCAGATGTTCTGTTTATAGAAAGAGTCGTGCATTAATTTGGAGATCACAGAAGCGTGTCATTTATCACGAAACTGTGCCACCCTAGGTTCCTCTGTATAAACAGGGTTGCCATTCTGACATGTAAATATTTCCAACCTTAATAGATTTTCTTACATCAATTGGGCCTCTGCACATCAATACTAAAGCCTTGCAGGTGAGCCCTGCTTTAAAAAAGGTTTGTCACCTAAGGTTTGTCAAATCATTTTTCTGATTGTTTTTGTTATTTTTTGTGATCCACCCATATCAAGATCATTATGGGGGCTGAAAAATTCTCACACTGGGTGGGATGCAGAGGAGGGTTGATTTTGATGGCTCAGGAAAATAGGGCACAGTGAGGTTTAAAGAGTGTATAGAATGATATGCATTATTGACCAAGCGCAAGGTCAAGAGAGCTGGATATTGGCCATTGACCATTGCATTTTTATGGACAGAGATGAAGTCAAGGTAAATAAAAATGCCAAAAAGAATAAGGGCGATATCCAGCGTCATAACCAAAGAAGCTTGGTCAATAAAGGATTTGTTATATGGCCAAACGGCGGACTTGTCCAATACCAGGAAATCCTGAGTGGGCAAGATAGACCCATCAAGCCCACTCGGGTAGCCAATCAGAACACATGATTTGCTTCATCTTGCCCGAGTGCAGATTCGGCCATATTATAATAGGCTGATTTAGCAACAGAACGGGATCAATGTCAGATGACAACAGCGCACAAAAATTTAACAACTGGCTTGACCAAAAGTAGACCAGCAAAAACTGGACACCGCACATTGTGTTTAGTTTTTCCGCACACTTCCCCGTCGTCAACTGATGTTCCCGTCCTGTTGCTAAACCAGCCTACTGAAGCAAAATGTCTCGGAGCTGACCAGAAATTTCATGTATTTCACCTCAACCTCCCCCTGCTTTTTCCTCCTCCCCCTCCTCCAAACCCTGCTTCACGATTTCAACCCAGCACATTGATATCTCTACAAGGCCTTAGGTCTGAAGATCAATGGAACAGATTTCTTAACATCGCAGTTCAGCTCACCTAAGAAAAATATGTCTTACTGTCCTGGAAAACAAAAGTTGGCCGCACTTGAAACAAGACGATCTCAAGATCTGCAGCAAAACCTTGAAGAATAATGGATGATAGACTGGTAAAGGAAGTTCCATATGTCCAAAGTGTCCAGGACAGAAAATGTAGTTTTGAGCACAAGTCCCGCACAAATCGTCTTTGTCCGTTGGACCAAGTGTTGGGTCGTATAGACCTCCAAAGTTAGGGTGCAACAACGCATCGAAAGTTTCTGGATTTGTTAGCTTCTTCACGCTGAGTTTCTTTATCTCTTCGGGTGAAAATAGAGCAAGTTTGACGCCTTGCATATAATGAAAAGGCACAACCGTCCCCGACATGTTGTCTAACCAATAAAACGGGCAAACATATGTCCACTTCAGCTGTTGGAAATCGACACTGATTGTCGGCCGTGTCGTTTGCACGTGCGGGATACTGTTTGCTTTGTCTTACATGAAGAGTTTTAGAAAATCACAAATAGTCCGCTGATCAAATGGATTAGCGGCTTGTAAACAATTAAAAATGGCGGGAGTTCCCGCAAGATCACGTTCCAAAATGTTCAGCGATTGTTGCAGAATATTGAAACTTCTGCGCCGGTAAGATAATATTTTACAATTGCTACCTTCCTCAGGAGATTGAAGTAACCCGGGCATGCTTATTTACAGATTACAAACTATAAGGTTACCCAGCATGTACAGAAAGCATGTGCGTTCAGGAAGCATGTGCCGATTGGGAAGGTCGTGATGCACTTCAGCTCTTGATAATTGTTTGCTTAATTTGCCACTATGTTACCTGCGAATTTCTTTTTATTGCAAGGTCAAAACAACTCCAACAAATCAACAAGCATATGATGGCAACCCATTCAACCACTCTGGCAAACAAAAATATTAAAATGACTGGTCTTTCAAAGCAGTACTTGCTGATCAAGAACAAGTATCCGGATTTTATTGTGCTTTTTCAAGTTGGTGATTTTTATGAGATCTACAGTGAAGATGCTGTGAAAGTTGCGGAAAAGACATCGTTGCGAATCTCCAGGAATCCCAATGTCAATAAATTGATGGCTGGGTTCCCTGTGCGATCTTTAGACAGCTGGCTCACAACCCTTGTTCAGCAAGGCTTTCAACTGGCAATCTGCCCACAGCGTCCTGAAAAGTAAGTACAAATGTTGTCTGAGCTACTTCTCCCAGCACTTTATTATAAGCTTGTCACACTATCAGACTATCTTACCTTCTAAGAGTAGTATTCTCTGATGTGGACTTCAGGGCAAAGAAACATTAAGAGAGAGTTGCTTTTATTAAAGATATTCTATCTTTTCTAGGACTCCTGCTAATTCCAGGTTACTCCATCGTGAAGTCGTGCGGTTAGTCACACCAGGTACTTTACTTGAGCCACTGAAGCCAGATGCTAATTACCTAATGAGTATTGCAAGGGGTCCTGACTCATCCCTTGCACTTGCCTGGCTTGATCTATCAACGGGAGAGTTTCATTTGGGCGTGTCATCTCTTGAAAGCTTGGAGGAAGACTTGTCAAGAGTGAACCCTGCAGAGGTAGGTGTGGTCTTAGCCATGGGAGTAAATGCATTTGTACCCTTGCACGTCCAGGAGAACTCAAAATGAAAAATAAGAAAAGTCCCCAATATTACATTATATTATTGCGTACTAAAATCCAAATAATAGCAGACATAAGGCCTCCTGACCTTGTGAGGAGGCTTGAATTGAATGGCTGTACATAGGATTTTGTTCAAACTTTTTTAAAGCTGCCTTCTTCATTCTGTGCAGGAATGTCTCATAGGGATCTTCCTTTTGACAAATGAAGAAGTCTAACTTAATTTTCAGAATGATGTTCACTTATTACTGAACAAGACATTTTCTTGTACACTGCTGTACAAGGCCAGCATTTATAGACCCTTGAAGATTCACCCACTTCTCCTAATAAAAACTCCTCATTGATCAAAGGTTAAAGGTCTTTAAATCTTGAGAGTGAACATTTTAAGTGTACAGGCCAGTGTTTATGGGGCACATATCAACACCATTGATGAAGTTGCCAAGCCAGAGTAAGCTTCCATTCATTGTGCAGGTATTAATGGCTGAAGAACATCTCGAGGATTCCAAGGTGAAGCACAATCCTAAAACAGGGATGAGTGTAAAAAGATCTCCACTGGAAAAAGTGAAAGATTTTCACCTGACTCTTGTCCCGTCAGACTGGTTCAGTACAGAAACCACTTCTTCAGACCTCCTTACATTATTAGCTTCATCCCAGTTTTCTTCATTAGAAATGGCTGCGGGAGCTGCTCTCCTAAAATTTGTGTCCTACACCCAAAGAGATGTTGCCCCTCTAGTAGGTCACCCTTCAAAATTTTCACATCATACTCACATGGCTATAGACTCTAACACAAGACGAGCCTTGGAGATAACAAGACCATTGATGAGTACAGACAAGAAAGCTACACTGTTTGGGGTCATGAACAATACAGTAACAGCAGCAGGACAAAGACTGCTCCACTCTCGACTTTGTGCGCCTTCAGCTGAGCCTCAGGTTATCGAGAAGAGACTTGATAGTGTTGACTATTTTTATACTAACAGGCACCTTGCTGAAGAACTGCAGAAACACTTGAGGCTTTGTCCTGATATCGAGCGTAAATTACAAAGGGTAAGAAAAAAACACTCATGCATTTGAACTTAGAAAACCTCTTAAAGTTCAGTCTATACATTCACACTATAAACAGGCAACCCAACAGACATTTATACACAGGGCCCTTACATAATAGAAATTCACTTTATTTGAGTATCAATGTATTTAGCACTACATGTAACACTATGTTTAGCACTAACAGTTAACAGTTATAGTGTCCTTATTATTATTGAGAGCTTTTTGTTACAACTCTGACTGGAGATGGGACCACCATTTTACATGGACGTCCGAGCCACTCTAGCTGTTTGCAGGGCAAAGGCAGCTCCTTCATTTCTCAGTTATTCCAAGACCCTGAGTATCGGTCCGGTGCAGGGAATTGAGTTCACAACCTCCAGCTCTGTAGTCAAGCACTAGACTGAATTAATTCTGCTGCAGTTAACGTGAAAGGATTTTCAATATTGTCAGTTGCACCTGCAATCACCTTGCTAGTCTTTAAACTCACACTACAGTGGAACCCCTCTTTACAGACACCCTCTTAATATGGACACCTCATTATTAGGGACAGTTTATTTTGTCCCGTGGGAAAGAAAGCCCTTGCATGTTATGTACATTTTCTCTGATTCAACCCACCTAATACAGACATCCTGTTAATACGGACACTTTCTATGGCCCCCTGAGTGTTCCCATTATTGGGCTTTGACTGTGTTTGTTTCAGATAACCTGTTTTAGGTTGTTTTTTATAAACTGTACCTGACATATTTCATGTATTTTTATTTAAGGTTGCCACGGGTATTGCCAATCTAAGTGATCTGCGTTCCATTCATGGTGCATTAGTCACATATAAGAACATTCTCTTGCGGCTTTATGACAGCCACTTTGACAGCAACCTCCATGTTATTGATCACCTACTTATGGAGGATTTTAGCCAGTTGGACAATTTGTACACAGAGCTTGATACTGCTGTAGGACAGCTTATCTCTGATTACAGTGTGATGGAGGGATATTCAAATACAGCTGATGAAGTCAAAGAGAAGCTTGGTCAGAATTCAAGAGAGGTTGAAGAATTAAGGGATCTATACAGGTTTGTGACGGTAAATAGATGTGCATGGACAATGTTGGTCTTTGTTTGCTTTACTGCAAGTCAATTTGTCAGAAATTATTGATGTTTGCTTTTGAGGGGAGGGGAAAACCAAAGCACTTGGGAAAACCCCTTAGCGCCAGAACAAGAATCAACCATTCACTCAACTCACATTCTCATCACCATAATGTAGTATTATTGCAACAATGTTGGTGAACATCGATTGACCATTACTTTTTGTAAGATAAAGATAAGGCATTGCGTTGTTGGGGAATTGCGATGTAGTTGGTGTGATGTCAATTCCCTGGTGCTGAGTCTAACTTGCACCGGTTAAACTTCACTTTTGATCAATGATAGCCTGCAAACAAGCTGTCAATTTGGGGAATATCGTGAGGATTCAAGCTCAAGTGGCATGCAAAAGGTGTGGTCAGAATCCTCCTTGTGGCTGTGCCCCTTGCTCTTGCCTTTATTTGCGGCTCGCCACTCGAAATGGAGGCTACCATACTTGTCAAATTTCTTTGAAACACTAGACTGAAACAGAAGATTTTTCATGCTTTCTTAACTAACTTATCTAACATATCCCTGTGAGTAATTCTTCTCTCCTTCCTCAATGTTGAGATTCGCGTTTATTTGCAAATTATTTATACATGAATCAGCATTGATTGAGGTTGGCATAGTGTGACAAGTGTTTCAATTAGACGTGACGAGTATTGTAAATCAATCCTGTTGATATTGGAGCAGTGGAGGGTACTTGCCAAATGTATCTTGTCTTTGCCAGGCTAAATCCCAGCTGTATCACGGGGGTTTAGTGGGAAAAGAGTGGGGATTACATAGGGATGATGCACTGATTAGTTGATTTATTTCCAAGTTTGTTTTATATCATTTACTTGTTGTTTAATACCCTTCGATTACATTCCTGATCACAGAGAGCAACTAAAACTTCCTCGCCTTGTTATCAACAACCACAAGTCGTTCATAAGAGTTGTGGAAATCCCCGCAACTAAGACAACACTTGTAGAAGGAAACCAGGACTTTGTCTTTTTGGAGAAAACTTCCGAGAAAGTTAGGTATAGCACTTTAAAACTACAGGAACTCAATGCTAAAATGAAAGCTTTACAAGAGGAAAATGAACAAATCCAGAGAGCTTTGTCTGAAGACCTGTGCAATCAGGTAAGTAAAATCCAATGTTCCCATAATCATAGTCCATTTCCAGTACACGTAATACCATTCGCCGCTCTTCCCTCCCAGTCCTCCCTCGCTCATACTTGTTATTCGTGCGCGCGTGATATATCCACTCTCCCTTTTCCCCGCAAGGGCCTCACACGCAAGTTAGACGATACGTGGCGAACTTACTGCCCAATCTACGCTTTACTTTAGTTCAAAGTACCTCAGGCCTTTTTGGTAAAAATTTCCCTCTGTTTAGACGGAAACAATTAACATCCAAGTGTTCTTTTTCGGGTTTTAGGTCACATCGCATGCAGAAGGCCTCAAACAAGTGGCTGTTTCAGTGGCGGAGTTGGACGTGGCATCATCGCTTGCTCTTCTCGCATTACAAAGAGGTTATGTAAAGCCAGCTATAGGGAACAAAAAGGAGTTTCACGT